ATTATATTATTACTAAACTCTGAACTGACATGAACGCCCAAACAAAATCCCAAAACACGAAGCGATCTACCAGACATCAACAAAAGGCTTTTTTTTTTTTCACCTCATAAACACTCAATCATACATGAGACTAGACAGACCGAGACCAAAACACACTTTATTGCAATCGGTCCAAAACAAAATCGGAGATCTTCAAAGAGCTCAGGAAAAACTCAAACAAAAGCAATACCGCTCTTGTCTGTCATGAGCCCGGAGTCGTAACGGTCTGTCTGCACACGACATTATTAACCCTTTTTATGCCACAAAACTATTGGCACATGGTCGAATGTTTTGTTTGTTTTGGTAAAGTCTTTAACGGCGCTCGCAACTGCATAAGGTCATATGAGCGCGCGGGACACACCTAATATTTTCAGTTGGTAGGAAATTTTGAATTTTGCCCGGGTGGTGGCCGTAGCCTGCTCTTATCGATTTTAGACCACCAAGGGATCTTTAACGTGCGCAACTTGCACACGAGCCCTCCGAGATTTTTTCGCCCTTGTCCGAGAAGGCTAGATGTAGATCTTTCCTACCAGAAGATCAGGGGTGTGGCTGAAAGACAACAGTAAGAAGAAGCGAAGGAGTAGCAGTAGAAAGGCTGCAGAAAGAATCAGGAGCCCAAAGGAAGCTGCAAAGGACGTGTGGGGGTGGGGGCAGAAGGAGGAGAGGAAAGCAGACGACAGAACATTGCTAGAGAGCAGGAAATGAAGTGAAAGGAGACAAATTAAGAGAAGAAAATGTTTCGGTCACTACACGGATTCGAACCCGGGACCCTTTGAGTGAGAGGCCAACACCTTAACCTCTAGGCTACGAGAGCCCCACATGGTCGAAACATGTACAGAAAAACACTGATGTATTAGCACAAGCTGAACATGTGTGTGTACAGGTAGACACAAGTGAATTGACACATAGGCAAAACTGCGTACAGAAAGACACTGTGTTATTGACACATGGGCAAAACTGCGTACAGAAAGACACTGTGCTATTGACACATGGGCAAAACGGTGCACAAAAGGACACGGATGTATTGGCACACGATCAAAACGTGTACAAAAAGATACCCTTTTATTGGCACACGGTCAAAACGTATACAATGAGACACCGATGTACTTGTATTGGCACGCAGTGAAAAAGGTGCAAACTACAGAAAGATAATGATTAAATGTATTGGCACATGGTCTATAAACGTGTACAAAAAGACACTGACCTATTGGCATGCAGTCAAAACGTGTACCGAAAGATACATAAATAAGCAATGTAGGCCTCCCGGGAAGTTGAGACTGTTGCAGAAAGCTATCAGGTCTGCTGGGGTAATAATCAAGACTGTCATATAAAACGCATACTCTGTTGAATGGGGCTTTGCACTACACAACAAAATGTATTCAGTATTTATTGTTATCGGCTCTTGGCACAGAAACGGTTAAGCTAAAAATCCAACATTGAAACGACAAATCCCGACAGTAAAAATCTTACTGTGAAATATAGCTACCCGAAACGATACACAAATGTATGGGAGCATTTTAAAAAATTAGAATCAGTATTTTCAGTACAAATCGGCACGTCTGATGTCTGAAAGTGTTCAGTATTTGTTGTTATTGGCAACTTATCGGTGCTTGGCACACAAAGGGTTAAGCTAGAAATTGAATATTGAGACGACACCACGGCAAAACAGTTGATCACGACAGTAAAAATCTTACTGTGAAATAATGCTACACGAAACGATACCGACGCAAGACGAACGATTAAAAGTGAGGTATCTTACTTTGAAATTTAATATCACGAAACGACACTGAAACGACACCTTTATAACAAGAAGAGCATTTCCTAGATTACTTGGGCGTTAACAGCACGAAATGACGCTAACATCAGAAACGCCAAAAGGAGGAGAATATGTATATATTTATTTTTACATTACATCAACCCCAAGCTACACCACAACGACATATATACCGTTACAAACCACATTCAATTGTGTGTGTGTGTGGGAGGGGGGGGTGTTTGTGTGTGTGTGTGTGTGTGTGTGTGTGTGTGTGTGTGTG